TTTTGCTGTCTATTTCTTCCTGTAACTCAACTTCTCCTCTAAGAATTTGGATGCTATACATTTGGTGCATATATGTTTAGTAATGATATTACTTCATTGTCTATGGTGCCTTTAGCAGGATGTAGTTTCCTTCCTTATCTCTTTTGATAGATCTATTTTTGCTTTTGCTTTGTCTGAGATCAGGATTGCTACCCCTGCTTTTTTTACTTCAGCTGAAGCATAATATATTCTGCTCCAGCCTTTACGCTTTACCCTATGTGTGTCACTCTTTTTCAAATGTGTTTCCTGTAAACAACATATTGTAGGATTATGGTTTTTAATCCATTCTGCTATCTGCTTCCATTTTATGGGAGAGTTCATCCCATTCACATTCACAGTTATGATTACTATCTGTGTTTTCTCCATCCTTTCCCCCTATTTATGCTTTTCTTCTCCTTTTTCCTTTCTTCCCCCTTCACTAGTGTTTTGCTTTTGACCACCGCCTCCCAGTCCTTCTCCCTTCTATTAGCCCTTTACCTTTTCTTCCCCTTTATCCTTGCTGCTTCTTCTCTCCCTTCTATCCCCCTTTCTTTTTCTTTCCCCTTTTCCCTCCTACTGCCTATAGGGAAAGTTAATTTCGATACCTAACTGATTATGTTATTCCCTTCTTGAGCCAAATCTGATGAGAGTAAGGTTCAAACAATGCTCATCCCCTCCCTTCTTTCTCTCTGCTGTAATAGGTTTTTGTGTCTTTTCCTGTAATGTAATTTACCCTTGTCTGCCTCCTCCTTTCTCAGTACATTTTCTAGATCAGATTAATCCACTTACTTGGATCCATTTAACCACTTGATTAGATTTTTTTTATCATTATCAAAGTCAACTTAATCCACCCCTTTATGTATACTCCTTTAACATGGTGTAATAACAATACAGTTCTCAAGAGTTACAAGTGTCATCTTCCCTTGTAGGGTAAACAGTTTGCCCTTATTAACAACATATTATCTTTCTGTCCCATTTACCTTTTTATGTCTCTCTTGAGTCTTGTACTTGAAGATCAAATTTTATATTGAGCTCTGGTCTTTTCATCAGGAAGGTTTGGAAGTCCCCTATTTCATTGAATATCCATCTCCTCCCCTGAAAGATTATGCTCATTTTCACTGGGTAGTTGATCCTTGGTTGTAATCCAAGCTCCTTTGCCTTACAAAATATCATGTTCCATACCCTATGGTCTTTTAATGTAGAAGCTGCAACGTCCTGTGTAATCCTGACTGTGGTTCCATGATATTTAAATTGTTTCTTTCTGGCTGCTTGCAGTATTTTCTCTTTGACCTGGTAATTTTGGAATTTGGCTATTATATTCCTTGGCATTTTCAATTTGGGATCTCTTTCAGGAGGTGATTGGTGGATTTTTTTCTATGGCTATTTTGCCTCTGGTTCTAGGACCTCAGGGCAGTTTTCCTTTATGATGTCCTGAAAGATACTGTTCAGGCTCTTTTTTTCATCATGATTTTCAGGTAGACCAATAATTTTTAAATTGTCTCTCCTGGATTGATTTTCCAGGTCAGTTGTCTTACCAGAGAGGTATTTTACATTTTCATTTATTTTTTCATTCTTTTGCTTTTGACTGATTCGCACTCTCTCATTGTCATTAAATTTACCCAATTCTAATTTTTAACAAATTGTTTTCTTCTATTACGTTTTGAAGTTCCTTCCCCATTTGTCCAATTTTGTTTTTAGGGATTTGTTTTCTTCAGTGTACTTTTTTTTCCAGTTGGCCAATTGTATTTTTTAAGGATTCTTCTGCCTCTCTCATTTGACTTTCAAAATCCTTCTTGAGCTCTTCAAAGAAGGCTTTTTGGGCTTCAGACCAATTCATATTCCCTTTTGAGGTTCCAGATGTGGGTTTGTTGACAATGTTGTCCTCTTCAGAATTTCTGTCTTGATCTTCACTGTTCTTATAATATGAATCTATGGTATATTTCTTTTTGCTCATGTTGTTTCCTTATTCCCTGGCCTTTACAGAGATTGAGCTCTCCTGCTGGGGAGCAGAGGGAGCCTAGGTCTTGGTCACTGCCTTTGTGTGCAGGGCCTCAGATGTTGGCAATTGGAGGCTGTGGGGTTCTGGCAGCTTACCTGGTGTTGGGCTGGAATCAGCAAGGCTGGAACTCTAGGGCAACTCTAGGTTGCCTGATTTTCCTTTCCTTTAGCTTTCTTCAGCTCCTTTCAGATGGATGTTGCAGGGTATTTACGCACCTGGGGCCCATTGTAGTGCTGCTTCCCCTATTTTTGCTGAGGCACTGGGAGACCCATTTGCTGTAGTATGCCAAGGCACCTGTTGGTTTTCTGAGCTGGTTTCCACCGGTCCCCCAGCCTTCACTGAGGCATTGGAAGTCCAGGTGTTAGTGTTTGCCTACTCCACTACCTGGGTTTCAGTATCTCCTCCTGGTGTGATAAAGTGGGGCTTTCTGCTAGTTTGCTGGCATATCTTCCATTCTGTACTGCTCCCCTTCCCCCAGGGCAAGAGGGGCCTTTCCCGTTAATCCCTCAAGTTACCTGGGCTACTATAGTGCTGTTCCCCATTTTCTTCTGGTTCAGCTATTCCAGTGTTTTTCCTGGGGTGATATTTTCTGGGCTTTCAGAGGTTGATAGGGAAGCGTGAGAGCACCTTGCCTTTTTACTCTGCCATCTTGGCTCCTGGTCACACACCTTTCCATGTCTTCCTAAGATGACCTGAGCTGGGAAAATGACTCACTGTGGTTATCCCTTAAATTTCCCCATCATAAATCAGACTCTTTAAAATTTTTGTTTTGCTGGTCCTTAGTTTCAGTTGTTTGTTTGTTTGTTTGTTTCAGTAAAGTAAGAGGCAAGGTACTCAATGGAGAGAGAGAAGGGAGGTGGAAGTGTTGGGTGCTTGAGAAGGGAAGATAAATTTTTTTAATACCTTCTGTGGAGAGTAATAAGACATTGATTATGGAGGCACAAAATGAATGCCTTACTGCAATAAAGACCAATCATAATGGTTGTAAGAACAAACTTCCAGGGATATTTGTTTAGTATCTCATGAGTAGGAACAGAGAACGCAGATTGTAGAAGCAATCCAATACTGACTTTGGCAAGAAGAATAGAAATAAGATAAAAGGGCAGGATATTCCAGAGCAGAGGGGAGCATAGCAAAAAAAAAAAATAGCAACTATTGGAGGGACACTAGAGAGGATGGAAAGTGAAGTTAGAGCAGTAAAGTACTGAAAGATAAAGGTAACAGATCTTTATGAGGCAAAGAACAGGTGGAGGAGGAGTGAAGCATAGTAAGAAGTATAATGATAGGATATGATAAATAAGTGAATATCAGAGTTTCTTTTTTTATATGTTTTTATTGATTTCTATTTCTTATGTCACCATAATTTTCTAAGTTTCCCTCCCTCCCCCTCTCAGAGAGCCATTTATTTTTAGAGAAAAAAAGATCAACACAACTGATCAACACATAGAAAAAACATATGCAATATGTAACACCTATGGATCTCCCACCACAGTTCTAAATAGAGAAATGGAGTGTATGTGTGTAATGGTGAGATCTAGTGTGGGATCATCCCTATATGTGGCCAAGATGGAGTGAAGCAGTAGGTCAGAAGACTTAAGGGGGCCAAGGAATCGCGAAGTCAAGGAATTTGAGGGAGGATTTAAGTTTTTAATCACTTTTGTGTCATGGACGTGACAGTAGATATGTTGAAGCCTACAGATCTATTTCTCAAATAGTGTTTTTAAATGCATAAAAGAAATTATATATGATTTCAAAGGAAGCCAACAGTTAATTAAAATAAAAATATAATCTTTTTATCCATATTCACTGACCCACTGAAATGTGTCTGTGGACTCTTTGAGATTTGTTCAACCTCCGATCCAAAGAGATATTAAAGTCCCTTAGGATAAGGACAGATTTGGGGAGGAGAGGATGATGGTGAGCAAAGTATTGAATTCCTTGAGAAAGGAGAAAAGAATGACCTGGAGGTGGGCATACTATAGCCAACATAATTTGGATTGGTGATCAAGAGGACTTCAAAAGAGAAAAAGTCTCTGAAGTGAGAGTGAACAAGGAGTATTTTGACTTCTCCCTCCAGGACCAGTGCATTACTTATTTTCTTCCACTGCTTTTACTGGATACTTATCCCTTTCCTTTCTACCTGTGGAAACTGAAGAAACAAAGACCTCTGCTTTTACTGTGACCGCAAACCATAGAATTATAATATCCACACAACACAATAGTATAATACCATATTGTGTAATATGTTCATTATTATTAGCCAACCTAAAAGCAAAAATTATGTGTTGGCTTTACAGATTATCACAGTATACTAAACTGAAACTGATCCTGTTTTGCTACAGCCTGAAACATCATAGACCCATCTAATCTATTCCCCTAATTTTACAAATAAGGAAACTGAAGTCCAAAGAGTTTGTGACATACCCAAGACCATACAGTAAGTATCAGAGGCAGGATTTGAACCCAGTTCTTCTGACTCCAGAGCCAGATGGTGGTGACAGAAAGACAAATTTTGGCCCATTTTAAGGAAAACTTTCTGTTACCTGTCTCTGGATGTCATCTAGCAAAGACTAGGTAACTCCTTGCTGGGGATGTTGTTAATATAAAATCTATGCTTTGAGTAGGTGTTGGACTAAGTAATCTCTAGAGTCCATTCTTATCTTGTAAGTCTGTTTCTATGATTCACCAATTTCATTGTTAAATATTCTGCATACTCTCCCTTTCTTATTTTTCTGTGGCCTAATTTAGAGATTTCCACTGACCAATAACAGGGATAAAACTAGTTTCCATAGCCATCATAAATGATACCTATAGAAGTTCCTTACCTACATTCAGGGGTTTGGTTATAAAAGACCTACATCAAAGTCCTTCACAGATTTGTTTAACCATTTACTCTGACAAACCAATATCCAGGTAATTGTTTGATTTTGTGCCATTTGGTTTATGTTGCTTCCTTCTTCCTTCTCCCCAAATTCCCTCCTAGGAATACCTTCAAATGATGGGACTCAGCAGCTGGTTGTTCTGGGCTTCCTATTTCATCACATTCGTCTGTTCTTTTCTCATTACCGTCAGTCTGATGACAATGTTTTTCTTCATTAAGGCAAGTATTTGGCTTCTTCTGTAATACTGAAATTCTATTGTAAAGGATGTTTGATATTGAGAAGGCTGATAGAGGAAAACAGGGTGTACAGGGCAAAGTGAGAGATTTGGTAAGATAAGGCTTGGGTTCAAATCTCAGCTCTACCACTTATTTACTTGTATGACTTTGAACAAATTACTTGGGACCTCAGTTATTTTATTTGTAAAATAAGAGAGTTAGACTAAGTGACCTCTGAGAGTGCTTCCAGTTCTAAATCTATGAATGAAATTAGTTAATAGTGATTGTTTTAGAAATCTTGAGTCTAATCAAAACTATAGGTTAGTGTCCTAGGAAATAATACCTTAAATTTAAGGAGCTATTTTGCTGTTCTTGAAAAGTGAGTAGTCTAGTTTATTTCACATCCCACTGGCCTCCAGGCACTGCTTGTTTATTTGTTTTGGTTTAGACCTGCAGTTTCACTGGTGTTGGGAATTCCAAGAGAGGTAATTCCTTCTGCCAAGGCAGAGCATTTTGCACCTTTTAATCTTAGAGAGTTTCCTGGGGCATTAGATGTTAAGTGATTTATCTAAGATCATCTAGACATTGTATATAAGAGGTGGAATTTGAATCCAGGTCCTTCTGACTCTGAGGCTTGCCCTGTATCCATTATGCCTTTCTGCCATGAGTTTTGGATTAATTGCATTAATCATGCAGGAATTTTAAACAACATTTTCTATTCTCTTCCCATCTTTCCCTTGTTTTTATGTAATAACATGTACCTGTGTGACTGATATGATTTTTAAATATTTTTGGTAGATTTTTAACCAACCAATACTTCGCAACAGTGACCCATCTTTGGTGTTTATCTTTCTGGGGTGTTTTGCCATTTCTTCCTTGTTCTTCAGCTTCATGATCAGTACATTCTTCAATAAAGGTGAGACTAGAAAATTCTTCCCTGACAAATCATCAGTTTTTTCTTGCAGATGCACTGAGGATTTATTTGGTTGTTCCCTTCACTGCTGTGGAGTGACTAGCCAGGTTGGAGAGGATTAGGAGTCACAGCTAGCCCAAACTCTTTTCCATTCTTATTTTATCTTGCTTCAGATCCATTAATTTTTGTACTCCATTCCCTTCCAGTGTCTAAAATAGGACTGGCCACATAGTTGCTGCTTAGGAATTGTTCTCAATTGGTTACTACTTTTAGCCCAATTTTTATGGATAAAGATGTTTTGTTTTGTTTTTGTTTTTTTTAGGCAGTTGGGGTTAAGTGACTTCCCTAGGGTCACACAGCTAGTAAGTGACAAGTGTTTAGTCTGAGGCCGGAGTTGAACTCAGATCCTCCTGACTTTAGGGCCAGTGCTGTATCCACTGCACCACCTAGCTGCCCCAAGATGTTTTTTTTTTCAAACTGTTGATATATATTATGACCATAGCCATGTCAGAATGATATTTTATTCTATTGCGGTGTAATTTCTTATAGAATGCATTGATTATCTTTGCACAAAGTACTATGTCAATTGGTATTAAATTCTTGTAAAGCAGTCCCCACTTTGGCAGAATATATTTCCAGGAACATCATCTTAAACAGTTTTCTCTAGAGAAAAAAATCTGATTGCACATATGCAATCAATCAACCAATATGCATTTATTATGCACCTACTGTGTGATAGACTCTGGGAATCCAGATATAAGAATTAGGCAATCCCTGCCCACATGAAACTAGGGAGATTGTGTGTGTGTGTGTGTGTGTGTGTGTGTGTGTGTGTGTGGGTGTGGGTGTGGGTGTAAGATTATATGCAAAATATTTCCAAAGTACATACAAAGTAATTGGGGCAGGGGTGGGGGGGCAGTATATAGGAGCCAAATTGAGAAAGGTTTTAAATGCCAAAAAGAGGAACTTGTATTTGATCCTAGAGATGACAGGGAGCTGTTGGGAGTTCATTGAGTAAGGGAGTAAGAAGGATCAGACCTGTACTTTAAGAAAATCTCTTTGGCAACTATGTGGAAGTTGGATTGGAGTGAGGAGAGACATAAGTCAAAAAGACCAATTAAAAAACAAAGTAATAGTCTGGGTAGTAGCTATATGGATAGAGTGGGGGCTGTGAAACATGCTATGAAAATATAATCAATAAACTTGACAACTATTTGTATATGAGGAGTTGAGAGAAAATGAGACATAGAGGAGGACTTCAAAGATACTAATCTGGATGGCTAGAAGGTTGGTGGTATTATTGACAACAATAAGCATCTGGAAGAGAAGTAGTTTTAGGGTTAAAGATAATTAAAAATGTTTTAGATGTTAGGTATGAGACATCTATTTCAACATATCTGATGGACAGTTGATGATGCAAGACTGGAACTCAAAAGAGAGATTAGTATTGGATATATAAATCTGGGAATTGTCTTTATAGTGGTAATAATTAAACCCATAGAAGCTTAGGAGGTCAATTATGGAGGGATACTAGAGAAAAGGAATATAGGTCAGAGTCTTGGGGTATGTCTTTGGGGTGGAATATGAATGTCAGTCCAGAGAAGAAGCAGTCAAATATGTAGAAGTACCAAGAGAGATAGCATTGTTCTGGAAACACAGAGGGAAAAAAGAATATCTAGAAGGAGAGGATTGTCCACAGTGTCAGATGCTATGAAGAAGTCAAAAAGGATGATGATTGAGAAAAAACTTTTCAGATTTGGCAAATAAGAACTCATTAGTAACTTTGGAGGAAGCAGTTTTGGTTAAATTAATGAGGTCAGAAACCAGATTGCAAAAGATTAAGAAGTGAGAAGAGAGAAGGTGAGAGCAATAAGAGTAGGCAGATTTCTGTAGGAGTCTGTCTTCAAAAGGAAGGGGAAAAAAGGATCATAATTTGAAGGAATGGTGGAATCAAGTAGAGGTATTTTAAAGATTCTGGAGCCTTGGCCATGTTTATAAGCAATAAGGTTGTAACAGTAGATAAGGAAAAATTGAAAATTAGTGCATGAGATGGGAAGGGGGTGATTATGGTGGTGACTGTGTTAGCAGTCTGCCAAAAAAGATGGAAGCAAGGGGGTGGGTACAGAGGAAAATGTAGAAGGGTTGACTTTAGCAAGAAGAGTCATCTCTTCATGAGAGCCTAAAATAAAGGAGAATGGTAAATAATGTCAAGGAGTTTGAAAATGTAGAAAAGATGGAGCTTACACAAATGGTCTTTATATTTTTCAATAAAGATGAAGTATGGTCCTCAGCTGAGAGGGTTAGGTTAGGAGGAGATATGGGAGGTTTCAGGAAAGAAGAAGAGATTTAAAACAACCTTTTTGAGGAGTAGGAGAGAGAATAAAATGAAACGATTAAAAGAATTGCTGTACTTAGAGCCCATTTGAGGTTAAATAGCATAAATTTATAGTCATCCTGCTCAGCAAGCTAACATGACTTCCTCCATTTCTATTCAGAGACACATGAATTGAAGTGGAGGACATGGATGGTCATGACTGAGATGGCATAAAGCCTAGGCTATAAAGAATGAGGAAGCAAGGGACTTGAGAGGAAAGGAGAGTATGATGTTGAAGTGATCATCTATAGGATTGAGACAGGGAAGAGCTGAGATAAATGGCTGGAGAGAATGTTGAGGGTTGAAAAGACTATGCAATATTCTGACTCTGAATTCTTCTATTCCATTTATTTCTTTAAAATACCAACTAAAACTGGATTGGGTGTATGATGGCTGAAGGAAGGTACTAAGTTTTTGTCAGTTTTTGTCAGGTAGCATCAGAAGTATGGAGGTTTCATCTGAAAATATTGAGCAACATTTTTAAGTGCTCATTAGGTACCGTGGAACAATACAGAGATACATGAGATGAAGTGTTTTTCGTCAGGGTACTTAGAAATTTATGGAGAAATTAGACATTCATAGATAATTATAATACAATGTAGATATAGCAGATACTTTGGAAAATTGAGAGCATTTAGAATATTTTCCATTGAAGGAACTAAAGGAAACTTAGGGTAGTGAACAGAGAACTAGTCTCAGAACTGTGAAAACTTGGGTTCAAGTCCTGCCTCTGGCATATCCTGGCTCTGGGACCCTGGGCAAGTCACTCAAGCTCTCAGTGCTCTAAATAACTCTCTTAAAACTATAAATAAATTGCTGAGAAGGTACTGACCTGCGTTGGTGGAAGGAGTTTCCTCATGAGGGAGTTACCTATATCAATGAAACCACAGTACCATTCCCTATCCTTAGGGATATTTATTGGAGCACTTGTCATTTGAGCTTGGCCTGAAAGAATGGATGGAGGTACAAAAGTTCACTGAAAAAACACAATTCCTTAAAAGTTAAAATAGGAAGTTAATGACTATGTGACATCAAGAAACAATAAAATAAAGTCAAAAGAATGAAAAAAATAGAAGAAAATGTGAAATAAGTCATTAGAAAAAACTGTCCTGGAAAATAGGTCAAGGAGATAATTTAAAAATTATTGGACTACCTGAAAGCCATGATCAAAATAAAAAGAGCCGAGACATCATCTTTCAAAAAATTATCAAGGAAAATTGCCCTGGTTTTCTAGAACTAGAGGGCAAAATGGAAATTAGAAGAATCTACTGATCACCACCTGAAAGAGATCTCAAAATGAAAACTCCCAGGAATATTATAGCCAAATTCCAAAGTTCCAGCTCCTGGAGAAGATATTGCAAACATCCAGAAAGAAACATTCAAATATCATGGTGCCACAGTCAGAATCATGCAAGATTTAGCAGGTTCCACATTAAAGGAGTGCAGGGTTTGGAATATGATATTACAGAAGGCAAAGGAGCTAGGATTACAACCAAGAATAATAATCTACCCAGCAAATGTGATTATAATCCTTCGGGGGGAAATGGACATTTAATGAAATAGAAGATATTTGAGCCAAATATCCCATTACAAGGCATATGCCAAAATAATTGCAACACCGTCTTTTGTGCTAGCAAAAAAATTGGAAGTAAAATGCACAACATGACTGAACAGGTCATGGTGCATGAGGTAGTTGAGCATTATTTTGGGTCTTGACTGCTATAGAAATGGCATTAATAAAACTTGAAAGTCATTTGGTAACCAAGAAAAATGTCAGGGTAAAAGGAGAAGGACCAAATAGCAAGGAAAGACTGTGTACTACATATAAAATACCATATAAGGCTTCATGGAGCTCATAGTCTAATTGGGAGATATATGCACTTAGGAAGCAATTTGAGAGGGCATTTTTAAAAGATTCTAAATAGCATAAAGTATTATGTTATTTCTAAGAGGATGCAGAATAAATATTCAAATGGGTGAAGGTGGGATGAATTGAAGTTTTTCGGGGAGAGATGAGTTTTAAGGGCTATATTGGATATAAATTCATAGAAATCGTCAGGGGAACTATTATGAACAAAGTCATGTGTGATTAAATGATACAAAAATGGCCCCTTAGAGGTAATTTTGTTGCTTGTCATTTTCCAAAGGGTTTGGTTTCTTTTATTGTATATTGTTTAAATTATATCTATTTTCCCCCTCAAAATTTTCAGCTAATATGTCTGTTGCTACAGGAGGGTGCATCTACTTCATCACCTACCTTCCATACTTGTTCATTAATTCTCGATATAACCAGATGAGTCTTAAACAAAAGCTGTCTGCCTGTCTACTCTCAAATATTGCCATGACATTGGGGATCAATCTGATAGTCAAGTTTGAAATTAAAGGTGAGCATTTTCATTTTAAAATTCCATCTCTACTAATTTAATCCTTTAACAGAACTAAAAAAATGACAGCATCACCCTAGAATTTTAAATAGAACTGAAAATGTACTGGCATTATTATCGTGTTTCCTGTTATTTGGAGAGAATTTGGGATAGTTCTAAGTTAGAGTAAAAGTAAAAGCTTAATGATAATTAGATTTTTGTTTAATATATTCTTTCCAAGGAGACTGTGACTTGTGCAGTTAAGAGTTTCATGACCATTATAGATAGAGTGAATTTTTTTTTCTAAAAAAAGTAATCTAGAAAGTGATTGGTCCATTCTTTTTCAAAATTTATTCTTTACTAAGGAATTGGTGAATGATTGCTTTTGTTTCAGAGAGTCAAAAAATGACTATTAAATGCCTCTTAGCAGCTGAGTAATTGTGCAAGATCCTCTGGGAATACAAAAGAAGTATAAGAAATGAGCTCCCTTGAGAAGCTTCCATTAAGATTGAGGCTGAATATAAAAAACAGTTATGGAACATAAGACAGTATAGAGGTTAAGTGTTGTTCAGAGAAGGGAAAAGTCATTATGAGCTCTATAAACTCCTTTGTTTAGCTTTTAAAGCCCTTCAAGGCCTGGTTCTGATTTATGTCTTCAGCCTCATTATGTATTACTTTCCCTCAAAAATTCTGCAGTTCAGCCAACATAGCCTTCTTTCTGTTTCTTACATACTACACTCTTTCTCCCATCTCCACTAGCCATCCTTACTTTCTCCTCACCTCTGCCTCCTTTCTTCCTCCAGGATACAACTCAAGCAGTACTTCTTAATTGAAGCCTTTGCTAATCTCCCAAACTACTAGTTTCTGTCTTCCTTCCACAACTGCCTTGTATTTAACCATTTTATATTTGCTTATATTTATTCTCTTTATAGTATAATATTACATATATATAATATGTATATATATGTATATGTATATATATATATATATATATATATACACACATACACACACACACACACACACACACATGAACTTGTTGTTTCTCTTGTTAGAATGTTAACTACTTGAGAGAAGGATTATTTCATTCCTTATATTTATATCCCCAGCACACAGCACTATGCTTCACATATAGTAGCCATTGATAAATGGGTACTGACTGATTGATTGATTCATATGTATAGCATTTAATTGAAAAATGGATTAGAGAGGAAAGTGACCATACTCTCTTTTTGGAGGTTCTTTTAATAAGCATAATTGAAGAAACTGGCAGTTACTTACCTAGAATAGAAAATAGACTTACAGAGATCATAATACCTGTATTCAAACATTTGAAAGATTATCATGTGGGAGAGAATTTAGACTTGTTTTATTTTGCCTCAACATAAAGAAAATCTTGGTTCAGTGAGTACAAAGAGACCATTTTGGGCTTTCGTTGGTAAGGAAATACTTCATAACAATTAATGCTATCCAAAAGCAAAATGGGCTGCCTCTGGAGGTGGTGAGTTTCTCCTCATTGGAGGTCTTCAAGTAGAACCTAGACATTATGACCATTTGGCTGGGTATTATAATGGAAGTTCATTTTTAGCTATGCATTAGACCTAGATGGCTTGATTTATAGGTACAATTAAGAGAGCCTTGACACTAGATCAGTAGTACCTGAGTACTACATAGCAGTACATAGTACATAGTACCTGTGTAATTTTGGACAATTCACTTAATTTCCCTGGGCCTCAGTTTCCTTATTTGTTAAATAAGAAGGTTAGAATAGATGGCCTCTGATATCCCTTTCAACTCCAGAACTATGCTCCTATGATCCCTTTCAACTCTGACACTGAATGACTCTGAGGAGCTGGCCTAGGCTAGTTAATTAAGATTTTTGTTGTTTTGTTGTGGAAGTGAGGCTTGGACCAGATCTGTTATTTCATTGATGTAGGGAGCTCCATGTGAAGAAATTCTCTCTGTCCTTCAGATCAGCACCTATTCTTCAACTCACACATAGTCTTAGAAAGTTGTCTGGGGCACTTAGAAATTATGACTTAGTCAGGATCATACAGCCCGTATAAGAAGAGGGACTTGAATACTGAACTTCATTACTGTAAGGCTAGCTCTGGAGTCTGAAGTCTATTCTAATTTTAGATGTATGATCTGTTATCTCTATGAACTAGGCCATACTGCCTTTCAGCTAATTGTTGATAAGAATGGAGATAGGAAATATAAGAATCCAAAAGACAGGTTTAGAAGGAAGAAATAGATAGAACTTGACAACATAGAAAGAGAAAGGGGAGTCACAGGTGGCTAAGATTTCCAGCTGAGAATCTAGAAGTATAGAGAGATTATTAAAAGAAGGATGTGGAGGGGCAGAGCCAAGATGGGGAGTGAAAGCAGTGACTTGCTTGAGCTCTCCCCCCAAACCCCTCCAAATACCTATAAAAAATGGCTATCAACAAATTCTAAAGCAGCAGAACCCACAAAAAGACAGAGTGAAACAAATTTCCAGCCCAAGACAACCTGGATGGTTGATCAGAAAGGTATATTGTGCCAGGCTGTAAGCGGAGCACAGTTTGGCATGGGCGCACAGGCCACAGCGAACTTAGAGCAGGCCTCAGAGGAATGAATCACAGGCAACTGTGGCGGCTTCCACAACCTCTCAACCCATAAATGCATGCCAAAGACAACTTAGAAGGTCAGTGGGAAAAGTCTGTTTCTACATTGCTGAGAGGGGGGGCAGCTGCCTCCTGAGCTTCTGGCCCACAGACTGAGGGGGAATCCAGTATCTGATCAGAGAGGGATTGCAGGGATCTCTTTGCCAGTGCTGAGGCAGGAATCTTTTGCTTTGCCCCTGCTTGTATCGGAGTCACAGTTCTGGGCGATGGTCCTGGGGTGAGGAGGAGTTCTGGCACAGTGGAGCTGTGCAGAAAAAACTCTCCTCACAGTTCCAGAACACAAAGGAGTGCTTGTGGTCATTAATAGACCAGAGCACAGGCCAGGAAAGGAGTAAACAACTCACCCCTTATCATATTACCTTGGAAGAAATGAAAAAATTTACAGGTCCCTGCAAGTATCTCTGAGAACAGCTGTACAAACCCCCAAAACTTGGGACAGTACGTTCTCCACATTGGAAGCAGACTCTTACCTTAACAAAGAGTTTAAAACTCAAGCAATTGGCTGGGATCATGAGTAAGCAGTGCAATAGCAAGCACTATATGCTTATAGTAAAATAGTCAGACTGTTATTATCTTACTTTGGTGACAAAGAAGATCAAAATATACAACCAGAAGAAAACAACAAAGTCAAAGTTCCTACATCCAAAGCCTCCAAGAAAAATAAGAATCAGTCCCAGGCCTTGGAAGAGCTCAAAAGGGAATTTGAGAAGCAAGTAAGAGAAGCAGAGGAAAAACTGGGAAGAGAAATGAGAGTGATGCAAGAAAATCATCAAAAACAAGTCAACAGCTTGCTAAAGGAGACCCAAAAAAATACTGAAGAAAATAACAACCTTAGAAAATAGCCTAACCCAAATGGCAAAAGAGGTCCAAAAAGCCAGTGAGGAGAAGAATGCCTTAAAAAGCAGAACTGGACAAATGGAAAAGGAGGTCCAAAAGCTCACTGAAGAAAATACTTCCTTAAAAATTAGAATGAAGGAACTGGAAGCTAGTGACTTTATGAGAAATGACGACACCATAAAACAAATCCAAAAGAATGAACAAATAGAAGACAATGTGAAATATCTCATTGGAAAAACAACTGATCTGGAAAATAGATCCAGGAGAGGTAATTTAAAAATTATTGGACTGTCTGAAAGCTATGATCAAAAAAAGAGCCTAGACATCATCTTTCAAGAAATTATCAAGGAAAACTGCCCTGATATTTTAGAACCAGAGGGCAAAATAGAAATTGAAAGAATCCACCTGAAAGAGATCCCCAAAGGAAAATTCCTAGGGATGTTGTAGCCAAATTCCAGAGTTCCCAGGTCAAGGAGGAAATGTTACAAGCATCCAGTATCATGGAGCCACAGTTAGGATAACACGAGATTTAGAAACTTCTGCATTAAAAGATAAGAGGGCTTGGACTATGATATTCTGGATAGCAAAAGAGTGAAGATCATAACCAAAAATCACGTATGCAGCAAAACTGAGTATAATCCTTCTAGGGTAAAAATGGACATTCAATGAAATAGAGGACTTTTAAGCATTCCTGTTGAAAAGATCAGAGCTGAATAGAAAATCTGACTTTCAAATACAAGATTCAAGAGAAACATAAAAAGAGATAAGCATGAAAGAGAAATCATAAGGGGTTTAATAAGGTTAAACTGTTTATATTTCTACATGGGAAGATAATACTTGTAACTTCTAAGGACTTTCTCATTATTAGGGCAATAGAAGGAGTATACATAAATGAAGGTGAGTTGAATATGATGGGATAAATATGAAAAAATAAAATTAAGTGGTAAAAAGAGGAATACATTGAGAGAAGGTGAATGGGAGGAGTAGAATGGGGTAAATTGTCTTACATAAAAGGTAGGAAAGAGCTTTTGCAGTAGAGAGGAAAGATAGAGGAGATGGGGGGAGCACATGAGGGAATAACATACACACTAAATTGGGTATATAAACTATCTTACCCTACAAGAAAATAGGAAGGAAGGGAATAAGAGAATGGAAGGGAGACTGAAGGGAGGGCAGATTGAGGGAAGTGGCAGTCAGAAGCAAAACACTTTTGAGGATGGACAGGGGAAGGGCGAGAAAGAGAGTTACTCAAATAGGGAAAAATAGGATGGAGAGAAAAATGTAGTAATCATAATTATGAAAAAAAATTTATAGCAAGTTCCTCTGAAAAATCCTTATTTCTCAAATATATAGACAACTGAGTCAAATTTATAAAAATGAGTCATTGATTGATAAATGGTCAAAGGATATGAACAGGCAGTTTTCAAAGTCATCAAATCTATCTATAGTCATATGAAAAAAATACTCTAAATCACTCTTGATTAGAGAAATGCAAATTAAAATAACTCTGGGGTACCA